TTACTTTCAGCTTTGTAGACAATTACTGTATTATACAAGTATCCAGTCAGTCAATATCTTCAATACGATACTAGTATACAGATTGTAACTTCTTATCCTTACCTAGATACACTCATCAATTATTAGTGGAGTCTCAAGAATGTGTTTAATTTTAACGCTTTTACACAATCAATATACTACAGATCCTTAAACCTAAACTTAAAATGGGCTGTGAACAGTACTGCCAGTGTAGTTCAAACCTAGCTCACTGAGCTTCACAAAGCAGCAAAAGAAATCGACAGAAATAATATCACTAGAAGAACATGTTAATCTATACATATAGTAGACAAGCACTAGCCACCCTGGAAAGACCACGAATTTACTTAGGGTTAGTACTAGAATGTCACGAATATTTGGCCGAAGTATCCATCAACAATGATAAAAATACTTTACTACAACCAACTATATTATTATATTTTGACGATTAACCAATTCAAACATAATTAAAACAAATTAAAAAACTTGTTAAATTAATTTTTAAAAAAGGGGGAAAGTATTGTAGCGCCTTGGAAGCACTACATACTAACTCCAACTCATAATATATTGATACATGTCACACCCATGCCACACATATCAATATTACCTATTAAGGCAGCTTAGTGGGAGGCAGGATTTAAGTGCACCCTATCTATCTACTTGACGACCTCGGTTGCCAAGCATTAATATTTATTAAAAAGAAAAATGTCATATATATAATTTTCTGTCATGACGGAATTATCTTTTTTATTATATTAATATTAATATATACCCTTTTACAAACCGCTATATTATTTATAACATGGGATCCACAAAGTTAAAAGATCCCATAAATATGTTCCTTATACTTAAAAAAAAATAATTTAAATGCTTTTTTTTGGCATAGACTCTTTGTCATACAGTCGATCACAAAATGGAAGAGGTAAATCATTAAATTTTTAAATTGAGGATTAAACGGGGACACTCGCTTCTCGCCTGGGGACCCATTAAGGCATTACAAAAAACAGATATACACTAGGTCACGGTAAGGGGGTAAAATAAAACAAAGGTAACGAGTCTAAGAGAAGTACTAATCACAAGGGTATACCTGATTCCATAAAAAAATTAATCAAGCAGTCATAAATATTTGTGGAATTGGAGGACAATAAACTTTGGATATTCCAAGGGGAGCTTATTTTGCATTTAAGCAGGTCGTTATATAGCTTGTCAGAGAATTTTTTGTTTTTAGTACAATTAAAGAAGATATGGTCTAGATCTCATTTTTCATTGCACGTCTCGCATTGGTCGCTTTCAGAGACTTTAATTTTGTATAAATGGCAAGGATAACAGGCATGACCAAATCTAATCCTAATGATTGTCGATATGTACTTTCGCGGTATTTTATAATGCTTGTACCAAGAGATCTTAGGAATGTTTAACTGAAGAGTCGCATACCTCGTTGGGTATGTAAAACAATATTCCTGCCACAAGTGTTGCCATTTATTGAACTGATTACTTTTTAATATTGCAGTAACATCAGAAACAGATAAATTGTATGACGTATTACAACCTGTTACAGAGCCTTTTTTGCCAACAAATCTACATGTTCGTTGTGCTTTAGCCCAATGTGAGCTTAATCCAAATAAAATGCACGTTCTGGTCTCTTTCTGAAAATGTTTGGATAAGTTTCTTAATTTTTATTACAAAAGGACAAGTCGATATATTAGGAAGCCCATTTTTTTTAAAAGATGTTAAAACAGAGATATAATAACTATCGTTTCTAGAGAGCAGGAAGAGGCGTAAATAAGTGCTTCATAGATAGCCGCAGCTTCCGCAGTATAGATGGAACATTCTTGTCTAATTTAAAAATATTTTTCTATGTGCTCTTTAGGTTCAAACAAAGCAGAGCCTACGCCATTAGCTGATTTGGACACGTCTGTATATAATATTAAGGCATCTTTAAAATTATTTAAAATAGAGAGTAATATATTGCTACTTATAGATATATTTTCTTCATAGTTTGGTTCAATAAAGGAAATGTCTGAATAAAAGCTAAACAAATCATTAATTCCAGGGTGCTTGAAAACAGTTAATTGATAAAATAGAAGTGCTAAGATGACAAAATATTTCTATATTATTTGTATAAGCTAATTTGTGTCTCCATCTCCATATACAACATTTAAGATTACAAAAATTGTCAAATCCCACGGATTTTTTAACCCTCTTTTAAAACAATAAAAACTACAATAAAATCAATATAGATTTATAGATGTCGAGGTCCCACATTGCCAGTGGGGAACATCGTAAATATTGTCAAAAGTGACTCTTTGTTTTGAGGTCAACAACAAATGCCTTTAAGAAAATAAATTTGTTCTTATTTTAAAGTTAAATAAGGACTGCCCTTGTAACTAGTTGTTTAATTTTATTTCTCAGTTTGTGACGTAATGTTTTTACTAAACTACATGTATGTTTATTTTTAAGAACGGATAATATGAACATTAAAAGCAATATTTTTAAAATAAAGGTATTTTCCTTTCATGAGATTTACAAAAAAAAATTGTAGAAATTCTTTATTGGATCGCAGAAAAAGTATTCTGTGCAACTTGAATGGATTTTCCATATCACATTCGAATGATCAAGAACTATGCTTGGTTTCACAAATTACTAGTGTGTAATTTTTATGAAAATTTTAATGAATAAAATCGAATAATGTGTGTGCAGATGCCATTACAAATTGAGTTTGCTGATTTTCTTATAGATCCAATTATCAGATCTTGACCAATGCTATATGGAACCACCCCGAGGTACCCTCATTCTAACAAAAAACGAATTATGGAATTCGGACAACATGGTAAAGAAAAATTAGAAGTTTGATGCTTTTCTCATGGGTTTTATTATTAGATCTTGAAGAAATTTATATGAAACTCCCTGAGATTCCTTCTTTTTAACAAAAAAATTCTAGAAATCGGACAAAATAGTAAATAGATATCGTAAAATGTTTCGACGAAACTTCCTCCTTTTTTGAAATCGGTTAAAATGAAAAACTTTTTTTGTCACAACCCTTAAAGGGCCTTGGATTAGAAAGATTACCAAGAAAAATGTTAATTTTGAACACAGAAACTGCAGTTGAGTTGTGTACACTTTATTTAGGCAATTTTTAGCTTTTTGATATAAATATTATTAATACCATGCAATAACTAAAATGCACAATAAAAAATGACAATAGCGGTAATTATACTGTTTACAATAGGTGTTAAGTATTTTCCTTACATTTGTTTACTAAACGAAAATGTTTCGTGATTTTTTAATTAATTTTGCGTTATTCAAAAACAAACTGTAAACTAATAAATTTTATACAATTATACTTTTCAGGAAGAAGAATAATTTCTTATCTTAACAATATTTTTTTATTTATCTCGAGAAAACAAACCAAAACCAAAAACATTATACTTCTGCCCTGATTAAGCCTAAATTAAAGTTTTTCTTTTGTTAAAGGAAATATATTCCAATACTTAATTATAACCAATTTAAAAATAAAGGAAAATGGGAAAAACTTAAAACCGTGTGACAGAAAACAACAACTCCTTTGGTTAATATGACAACAGGTATAATATTAACCCTAGAAAAACAACACTTTAATTTGGATAATTAAGGAGAATATCATTCTTGAAACTAAATAATTTTCTTTCTCTGCTGTTTTTCTAGGTGTACACTTCAATGCCTGTTGTGGTATTAGCCAAAGGAGTGGTTATATTTAAGGAGGGTTTTGATCGACATTTCTCTGACACAGTTTTGAAATTTTTCTTAAATAAAACTTTATTTTAAATTGGGATATATTTTTTCAATATTGTTTTTTATGACTTAAAAGTTTTTTCAAATCAAGAATAGGATACAATAGAATACAACCAAATGAAAGTTACAAAGAAATGACAATAGAGTTGATGCAGAAAATATTAAAATATTTTTTCGTCTGTATTAACAATTAAATTAGAATTTAATAAAACTATATGAAATCAATTTAACTACGAGTATTAAAACTAAAATGCTAGGCTTGTCGATGGAGCTGAGACTGGAGCATTTGGCATCTAGGATTGCAGACTAATTAAATTAAATCTTTTTTTAAGTTATTTTATTTTAAAAAATAGTAAAAGTCATAAATTATTTTTAAATTAGTTATTTTATCTTAAGATGTAAAATAATTTTTGTAGTGGGTCGTAGAAAAAATATACTGTACAATAAAAACGATTAGTTTTGGTGTAGGACCGTCATCAGGATTGCAAGAGAAAATATGGAAGAAAATAATTTATAAATAATCAAAGGATGATAGTGACAATAACAATGTTTAAAATTAAAGCTTGAATAAAAATTATAAAAACAATTAGTTACATTTTTAATAAAAAATTAAACTTGCATTCTTTCTAATAATCCTTTTTTTAATTTATATTATTTAAACTTTAATTCCAAATAGGTACTATTTTATCAATTGTTCTTATTTTACATTATTATGCACTTTCATTCTTACATACTTTTTCTTACAGTCCTGATGATAGTCCTCTACCGAAACTAGTCTGTGTTTTTATTTAAGATAAGGATTCCCTTTTTACTAATAAATATATTCATATTTAATGAAAACTAAAACTATTTTTAAACAATTAAAAAATAAAACATGTTCTATAGAAATTAAAATACAAAATACAATTAAATTTGTTAATGTTTTAAATTATTTATTTAATCTAACTCAAAATTTTGATACTGATAATTTACACAAAGGCAAAAAATTCTAAAACCAAAATTAATTCATTGTACCAAATATCGAATTTTCACCTCAAATAAAAAATATGCGCCACCGAAAAAGTTACATACACTATCAATGAAACATAATTTTTTCTAATCAAATTTAATTTAACTCTGGTAAATTTTTCCTCCAACTAATCATTAATTTAAAATATTAATTTAAAATAATTAAAAAATTATAATTATGCTGTACTTTAACATTCTCCACTTACCGGAAAATCCTTGTCCATTTTGTATCCTGAGAATGTCCTTCTACACACACATAACACAATACACTGCTGCCATTTACTTTTCAATAGCAATATTATTGCATTATATTCTCTCACCTGTATCACCTAAAATATTAGCAGGTGGGGAAACATCTCTGCAAATTTGTAAATAAATGCAATGATTGGCAACAAACAGCAGATACACATAAAAAAATTCTAATGGGAAATAAATGACAAAAAAAAATGTATATTCCAACATATCTGAATAACATGTATAACACATTTGTCTACTAGTGGTACAGAAAAACCAATCTTAATTTAAAAAGATTAATTAAAAAAAACATCAGGCAGTCATAAAAATGTCTGTCTAAAAAATGTAACACTGCTTTACAAATTTTAAATATATTAATTCAAAAGAAATAGAAAAAATGTTATCATAATTTTTTTTATTTATGCAATATTAGACCTGGTTGAGCGCGACCAATCAGTAATTTTATCTTAACCTAACCTGTCTAAAAAATAGTTAAAACTAAGATTTTGTCTATTGATGTTTTTCAGGTCATGGTTAAGAACTTTCACTTAATACCGTGCTCTGACAGTGGAGTGACCAAAATTTTGGGGGTTCACAGTAGCAGAATAGAGATCCCGGTACAGATATAGGTAAAAAACTGTCAGTGTTTTTGAACGGTATATTATAAACTTTCTGAAACATTTAAAGTTTTTTCATACATCTGTACTGATACCTATATTCTGTCACTGTGAACCCCTCCACGAGCCGCCACTGGTCCAAAGGTTTGGTTATCTTCACTCATCGTTTAATATTATGTTGATCGAGTAGCTAGAGCATCTGTGTTTTATTATGATTATGAGGCCTCGCTTTACGCCTTTGAGCAAATCTCTTAATTTTTTCTTTAACCGTTACCATGTTGAGGTTCCTGGACTAAATCTAAAATGGATCGTCAACGATATTCCTAAGTACTTTGTTTTGAAATTTTTGAATGGGTGCTATGGATACGTTAAGTGAATGGTCGGACCGGTCAAAAGCGTCTAGCGAAAAAGAAAACTGAACAACATGACTAATCAGCTGAATAGTCAGGATCAGTCACAACGGTCGAGAAATTTTGTCTGACTTTGGTAGTGTTGTACTTGCACTTGTGTTGTACTTGCACACACAAAAAAGAATCTTTCACTATTTAATATTAGCAGATATGGGTAATGTGAGTGTTTTAAGATTTGACATAATGTCAAACCTCAAATATAGCCCATATTTATACTATTTTTTGATCAAAAATATGAATAAAGAAATATATTACTAAAAACAAACTTAATACACCAATCTGAGAATAACTTCACAGTTTTTAAAACAGATTATAAAGTCCGTATGAAAAAAACTGGTACCGGTGGCTGGTCTTGTACTGTTTTAGAGTGATGATTATGAATTTTAAAAATTAGAACTTGAAGGTTTCGACTAATTTGTTCAGCGATCTGTCTGACCATACCAGTCAACTTAACTGTTGACTTAACGCAGCCTATGTTGATTAAACCGAGGAAGTTCTAGAGCTGTAACCATATGCTCAAATTGATTTAAGTATCTGCTTGTATATGAGCAGTTTGTATTGTATTGTCATTTACGAGTTGTTGCTTATAAGCTATTACATTTTTCTATATTAGATAAGATTAGATTTGAAAGGAGTTGGGCATTATTTGTCCTTGTCTACCGCGACCTTTTCAGATCTATTGTGGGACTCCATTATTTAGAGAATGTCATCTAGCAAGGTATTTTTTATTAGACCTAATAGCTTCGATAGTGGCTTCTGCATATATTTACATACGTATGGTTTTTCTTCATCTAGTATTAGAAACCTCAATCTAGTCAGGCTTTTACACTGGCACAGGACGTGGACTGATTGTTCTTCTGCTTTTTCACAGAACTTGCACAACGTTACTTCTTGATGGCACTCATGTACCCTACACTTTTCTATATCGTATATGTAATTATTTCCTTTAATTTTTCACATGTTCCTTTTATATTCTAGGCTTCGCATCTAGATTCATGCCTAGATATCATGCTGTATGTGCAGTCCGTTCGTTGTCTTTTTATTAATTTTTTGGTCCATTCGTTGAATTTATTAATGGTAGTTTTGAAACTTTTGGGAAGCAACATTCGTTGATGTTGCTAGTGGTGTCATGTTGCTGGTCATGTCAGGATAATATAAGACTGGACCAAGTACACTCCCTTACGATACTTCTGCTTTTTTCCTTTAATGTGAAAATTTTTGGCACGCTTTTATATTGTAACTCTGTTTTATTACTATGACTTCACTTACATAAGATCAAATGGCTTGACTCTTTTAAGTCTACGTACTAGACCCTGATTGTCTAAAATTTGGAGTGCTTCAATGTTGAGTATTTGTTAAGTATCTCCTTATGTCCATTGACAATTTTCCTAATTTCTTCTGGAATTAATTCAACTTATAGTTCTCGATGTAGGTATTTATTCAGGACATACCAAGGAGCATTAACTATGTTCCTGAGAATTCGCTTTTGAACTATATCCTTCACACCCCCATAATCGTAAGCCATATATACTAGATTTATAACTATTTTGTTAACCAGTACTTTCTTTTAAGTTAAAAGTGGAGAGTGCCTTTTTTTTTCTCATGGGCTCGTCTGACTATGTCTCCGAATAACACTGAAGCCTATTGGCTTATTGTGTTTTACCCCATGTTAGTTCATCCTTGGGTGAGTGGGTTCTATACATTGTTGGATCAACCTGGGGTTGTCCAAAAAGAACAACCTGTCTTTTGCGATCTAGAGCTTCGCATTCGCACAGTATGTGTTTGGCCATTTCTGGTTTCTTGTGACATAGTCGGCACATGAGTTCCCCATTGTACATGCCAATTTTCTTCAAGTGTCCCTTTACTGGGGCGTGCCCAGTCATGAACCCTGTTATCACTTTCAACTGGTTCCTATTCATAAAAAGTAGTTCTCCAGTTCTTTTGGAGGGCTTTTCCATGTGCCTGTTTTGGGGTGCTTCCCCAATAGTTAATATGTTGTTCCTGAATCCAGTCGTTTATAAAACCCCGGACTGTACTTTTTGGTACTCCTGGGTTTGTGTCTGGTTTCGGTGTTTCTTCTGACCCTCTTTTTGCAAGTTCGTCAGCCTTTTCGTTGTCTTATGTCCCTTGGTGACCTGGCATCCAAAATAGGTTTACTCTATTTCGGTCTGCCGGTGTTCTTAGTTCTTCGATGCATTCCCATACCAGCTTTGACGTAACTTTCTGACTCGATATGGCCTTAAATGCCGCTTGACTGTCTGACATTATTTGAATATGCTGATTTTCAACAGCTCTTTCATTGCTCGTTTTTGCACATTGCAAAATTGCGTAAACCTCGGCCTGAAATACCGAGGAATGTATTCCTATAGCATAGCTATGGTTAGTATCAGGGTTTTTGGAGAATAGTCCCGCCCCAGTGCCTTCCACAGTCTTAGACCCGTCTGTATATCAGGTTTGTTCCTGTCGTTGGGCATTGGGCTCCCTTATGGGGATCTCCGCTCTTTCCTGTATTAAAACCTCAAATGGAGTATTAAAAGAGTACCTTTTGATTATGTGGTCTGATTTTAGAGAACCATCTCTGCAATCATTCCTGAGCAACGCCCGCTCAATTCCCCGCAAGACATCGACACACTGGTTGACGAAGTCTAAACCGTCATCACCCACGCCGTCAAAATATCCGCCCCAATCACCTTCATAAACACAGCACAAAAAGCCCTCCCCCAATTCACCCTAACTCTCATCTTTCAAAAACGACCATTGTATAGACAATCTGTCCGTACCCACGACCCAGTCATCAAAACTGAATGGAACCGCCTTAACGCCCTGATCAGGCTCCAAACCAACTTACACAAACAGCAACTATGGATTAAAACCACTTCTAATTTGTTCATAGAGACGGTTCCAAGTTTTGGGACAAATTTTGAATCATCACGGGCCAAAAATCCAAATAAAACTCCCACCTCGAAATCGACGGACAAATCCACTCAATCTCCGACAAAAAAGCCATAGCCCACCAAACCAACCTTGAAGTCACCTTTAGAACCCCCGACAACCCCCCCACTTTGACGAACAATTCAAACACGAGAGAGAACAGTACGTTCTTCAGACACTCGCAGCCCCAGTCCCACCTTTGGATGTCGAAAACCTCCTCACTTCCCCATTCACCCTTCAAGACACCCAAAGTGCTTGCCAAGCAGACAAAAAAAACGGCCTCCGGGCCCGATTTCATTTACAGGAGAACGCTGAAACATCTTCCTGAAACCATCTTTCCCACCCTCGCCCTTCTCCTAAACTCCTGTCTCTCCCTCTCCTATTTTCCACTTGCCTGGAAATCCGCCAACACCATTTTGATCTCCAAAACAGGCAAATACTCCAAATCCATGAATTCATACAGACCCATCTCTCTCATATCTGTCCTAGGGAAACTTCTCGAGCTTCTGCTCAAGTAAAGAATCTGTGAATTTTGTGAAGAAAAAAACATCATCCCTCAATCCCAACATAGTTTTAGACCTCACCACTCCACACAGGACGCAATCTCCTCCCTTCACACTAATGAGGTCACTGCAGTAAATTCTCAACAAATTTGTTCAGCCGTTCTCTTAGATGTTCAAAAAGCCTTTGACCAAGTCTGGCATGCCGGACTAGTCAAAAAGCTTATGAACATAGGTCTCCCCCTCTAATCTCTAAACTCGTACAATCCTACCTAACAGATAGAAAAATCACCGTTAAAGTGGGCAACTCCCTATCAGACACATTCACCCCACTCGCGGGTGTCTCACAGGGCTCCGTCCTGGCCCCTCTCCTCTACCTGATCTACACTCACAAAATTCTTCCCCCAACACACACTCACAAGACACACTACAAACCTCATGGCGCCCAAACCAACTTCCACTTTTTCGAAAACCGAAAAGAAAAATGCCACAACCAAATCTAAGACTTCTCTCGGACTCCCAAGACCTCCCA